ACACACACACACACACACACACACACACACACACACACACACACACATTCAGAATTGTGCCTCTTCTGATGCCTGATGTATTTAGATGGGACTCTTATCTTCCACAATGATGCTGGCTGCCTGTAGACATTTAGCTTCCTGATATTCAGCCTCATCTTTCACCAAAAGCTGAGGACTCTCAACATCCACATAATCCTGCAAAAAAACACAAAAAACTTCTATGTATTTAAGAAAATACCACTACAATCTACTGCTTTTCCAGCTGCAGGAACAAAACTGTGACGTAACATAAGCAGCTCAGAATAAAAGATTTACATTTTCTGTTCTAAATGCTGTGGTCTGATGGGTTGCAAGTTGTTTTTGGTATATTTCAATAGCCAAACAATGAATATTCAAAGAAGCATGTTCTATTTTTGTGATTGATTGACAAGCCATCTCATAAGAAACATAACAATGAGCCTTTAAGATAAATGGGTGTAGTTTAAAAATAATGAACTCAAGCTAAAACTTTCACTAAAACTGCAGAATAATTTTGTCCTGGCGTCTTTGAAAATATGATGCATTACATAATACGACTTTCATCAAGTATGTAAAGTCAAATGGCTGTTTAAAGTCATATGACCTAAACCCTGCAGTCTAACTTAAGATACATATTATTAAGGTTGAGACTATTTCTGGCACCATGAAGGTCCCCTGAGGTTTGTTTTCTTTATTTCCTTTACAAATTACAACAAGAGAAGGATTGAAAAGATGAAGAACAAATGACACAACCTTCAAAAGATGAATAATCAATTTTGTAAAACAATTAAAAGATGGCGTAGCCAGCCGTTCCTTACCGCGTCGTTTTCTATGATGTTCTCCAGCATGCAGACAATGTCAGTGAACGAGGGTCTCAAGGTGTACAGCGCCAGCCAACATTCTCGCATGATATGAAGTCTGTAGGGTTTCAAGAAGGGATTCATTGTGTTAGGAACTACTAACTATCATACTTCATACTAAAAATGTTATAATAACAATGTTATAGTGCTAAAGTAAAATGACTGTCAAAACTGATTCAGAATCAGATAGCAGATTCAGACTGATGGTTTGGGTTAATACTGTTTTAGTCTAGATCTGGTATCGAGTACTCATGATGTCTCTCTGACAACAAATAAGTGTCTCCCTCAGTACGGCTAACAAGTTTAAAATGTTATTTTATGAGCTGCATATCATTAGTTAATGTTTTCACAGAACACAGATGCAGCATACAAATAGAACAATAACAGAAGAGCCAGTGTTATATCACACCAGACACAAATATTATAAAACATACAGATAATAAGTGCCTTGATAGCCTTTTTGAACAAATAAAGTTTTTTATTGATAAATTGATATTTAAAAAAAAAAAAGAAGATTGTGTCAACATCATTATCAAATTTATTACAGAATAAATATTTGTCTCCATTTTTTGAGTTTTTGTGGAAACCAAACACCACATTTTGTTAAAGTTATGAGGTGTTACTGTTGAAGCATTTGAATCAAAATTTCAATAATGGATTTTTCCCCAAAGAAGATAGAAAAAATATTTAATTAATGATACTGACATTTGTTTACGGTTTATTTTAACGAATTACTCTTTTTTATATTTTGATCTCCCTCGTGCCTCTCAAAAGTAGAGGAGGGGCCTCCCTCTCTGCCTCCATGGACCAGCCTCCTCTAGTTAGCATCTAGTTTGAGGGGTTAACCCTGAAAACGGACGAATGAGAATCAGGGTGTGGTGCACCAACAGACACTCTGTGTCAGAGCTTAGCTTCTGTGGTGTAGCCTGCGCCTCATTGATGGAATGTTGTCCTAAATCCTGGCTGTGCAAGAAAATATATGACGTAGAGTTATCCTTCATTTTCAGCTGTCCATCACTCACACACATTTCCTTCAGGAAGCTTTCAAGTTACAGCATGTTTTTTGGTTCTTGGTTACGTAGAGGATTGCATTACGATATTAGTAATCCAATCCATTAAACAATAATGTATACATTTGCAGATAAGGCTCATGGTGTACATAGACTATAGTTGAAATGCTTGTTAATTGTCAGTTTTCACTTACATCTCTGGACTGCAGCCTTCAGGGTCTGTGTTCTTCTGACCAATACAGATGTGGTACACCACTTCCTCTGAGGTCTCAAGGTTTGGGTATGGCAGTGCACCTGAAAATATATTCCAAAGTTAAAAAAAAACATACATGACATTTTATATTGATCACTCTAGTCATGTTTTTCTACCGACTACCTGCTGTCTTTTAAAATGTACCATACCATGATTTCATTTCATGCTCTTTGGTTTTGTAAATAATAGGCATCACCTAATGTAAGAACTGCCAGAATCATCAAGATCACATATATCAGAGTTTAAGAAATAGACCAATATTGGCCCGACTAATGACATTGTTTTAGGGTGGGAGGGAATGTGATACTGCCTTGAAATACATTTACAACACATACGTTTAATTACAACTAAAGCACTCAAACAGGGAATGAAAAATCTCTTCTTTGGCCTTAGCTCATATATTTAATCATTTATTTCGCATTTCTGTTATTACCTGTGCAACCAACTCACCAAATGTCTGCATCTCCCACAGCACGATGCCAAATGACCACACGTCCCCCTTGAAGCAGTAATAGTTGTTCTTGAAGTACTCAGGTGGGTACCAGCGCAGCGGCACCCGCTGCTGTACAAGTACCATACAATGGAAAAGGTCATCAGTATACAGTGTCAGTGGTAACTGCAATATATTGATATCACTTTAGTAAACTAATGAGCTCGTGGTGGAAGCTATGAGTAACCTCTAGGCTACATGAATGACACCTTCACAGCTGGTCTTTCTCTAAATCAAGGCCTCTGTCTGAAACTGTTGTTTCCTGTTACAGAACATAGATTCATTTTGAGCAACAGAAGAGCTGATAACAGCCTTGGTAACAAGTTAATATGGTTTCAAACCAGGTTCATAAGTTAAAGTAAGCTAGTTCAAGACATTTTCAATCAGCCGCATGAGGACTTCCTGTCTGCAGCATAAGGCTGCCAACCATACACTTCCTGTCATTACCACTTGATAGAAAAACACTGACCTTACTAAAGTGCCACAAGTTCGCATACACATTTTTACCAAAACGTTAAGCATGTGTGACAAGTTCATATGGTAATGGTAAAATATGTGTGTAAAAGTTTGTGTCACATGTTGCATTGTTCTTGTTGTTTATTTTCCAAAACAATGCAACATGACACTTTGGCATCCTATTGTACATTCACTTTAATCAGGTTTTCAAAATGAGAGAAAGCAGTTTAGTAACTGCTGGCAGAAAATGACAACCCTGTCAGTTTCGATACATACTAACATTTATATACAATCTGTCACTTGTTTAAGTCAAATCTTCTGATGGTCACATGCTCAGTTATTTGGGTTGTACAGTAGCACATGACAATTTGAACTTGACAACTTGTAGGATAAGTGAAATCCCAGCCGTATCAACAGGAGAGTTTACTCTGCGCGTGTGTGTGTGTGTGTTGATACTGTCGTACCCGTGGGTTTCTCCAGCGGCTGCTGCGGCGGCGGCTGGTCATGCGTGTTAAGTCTCGAGCCAGGCCGAACTCCGCTACTTTCACTTCCCAGGGAAACTTATTGACCAAGATGTTCCTCAGAGCCAAGTCACAGTGCACAATCTGCAGGGAAGACCACAGCGACACTGCTCAGCATGCGACTATGATTGGTCAGTGTGGATGAATAGTAGCATAGTAAATCATTATTCAGCAACCTACTGAGCACTTCATAACAGCCTGTAATGTTGTTACCATTTTGGAGCGCAGGTGCTGCATGGCCAGAGCGATGTGGTAGGAGGCAATGGTGAGGAGGCTGTGCAGCTCAGGGTCTGCACTCAGGTGGACTCTGTTGGTCTGCAGGAAGGTCCTCAGAGTGCCGCAGCTCACATGGTCCATGATCAGAATGTAAGGCTCTGCATAAATCAAAGCAGAGAGAGAGGATGGAGGACTAACAAGGAGGAACATATCCAAGGTCTCATCTACCTTCATTGGTGATCTTTAATAGGAAAGTGATTTCAATCTTGTAGAGGAATGACAGTCTGTGGATAAATGTCTCTGACCCTCAGTGGTGTTCCACTCCAGTAACTGGAGGATGTTCTTGTGGTGCACCAGTTTCCTCATGATGGAAATCTCCGTGTCCACATGCTTTGGACGGACACCTCAAGGAAAGAAGAGGGAAAAATAAGAGTAAAATCCACTGAATCTAGGAGGACTCAAAAGTGAAATATGAAGGGGCTTCCAACATCGAGTCATGTGGATAATAATTAGTAACAATATGAACTGGAAAACGGAAAATAACTAAAACAGCAAACTAGCAATTAAAATCACTTCCAAATTCAGTTTAAATGACCATCTTTAGTTAGCATGTCATTTATAATTAGTCACGTGTCTGTTCAAACGCTGTTATCTCGCCGTCAAAAGTATTCATCTAGTTTCTCAAAAGTGTCCTACATTACTATCATGTACTTCACATGAGCGCTGATGTTTCTGGACAAACAGTGCAGTTTGGATCGGGTTGAGTTTAGATTTAGATTTAAGAGACTTCAACATGAAAGGGAGGACAATTTATTAGCTGCTACCAGCAGCTCTGTAGCTCACTCTGTCGGTCCACAAAAATTCTGCATGGAGGTCAAGTCTGTGGGATGTTAAGTTGTGTGTTTGTGTTCATGCCAATTGTCCTTTCACTAAGCCCCGCCCCCTGCTACTACTCCATCATGCTGTCAGAGCTACCATGGAGCACACACTGTCACTAATCGCACTCCCTGAATAAACAAATGAACAATTTCAGAGATGTCAAACTGACTCATCAGTGAAAACTGGTTAAAGTGACAAAGATAGAAGCTAAAGTCTATGGACTACAGTGTAGAGATCTAGAGGGGTAATGTCTAGAGCAGACAATGAGGTGTATGAAAGCCACATCATTCGCTTAGTGTGGGAGAGGATGGAGAGGTGGGCTGAGTGTATTTTCCTTCACATCTTCTTACCACAGCATCAACATCCTAAACAGTGGTAGTTAAACTCTCTTATTCATGATTCTGCAAATACAGCGATAAACCAATGTTAAAAACCTTTTGCATGCAACTGTAGTTCATATTATGCTACTGAACTGTACGCAGCCTGTTGACCCCGGCTGCTTTCAGTGCAGTCCTGGTTACCAGTTGAAACAATGCAAACCAGCAGCAGTCACACTTGTTGCAGCTTAAAGGTGCGATGTGTAAGATCACATAGAAGTCAGCATTTTTAACTATTCACCACAACTGGGTTCATACAATCTAATCAGTTCTATTAAAAAATGCCAAGTACTAACTAACAGCAGGGCAAGAACAAACTTCTTACCTGAAGGCTCGTTTCTGCCACTTTGGATTTAATCCAATAAACAAACTACCAAACTTACAACGATCCTGTTCTGTAAACTGGTTGCCAAGCCCTTGGGGCAGCTCTACTTTTTCGTCCTCTCATGATGACAGACATACATAGAGGTCTTTGACATAACGTCAACACTGTAACCTTTTATAATGTTCAACTTTTGAATGTTTTTAGACTAAAATTCTGGCCAGATCGTACACACACCACTCTGGGCAGCAGAAACAGGCTGTGACACAACACTGACGTATTGTCACATTTATACAAACATTGGCTTATTTACATATCCAGCAGACACACAGTAAAATTAGCAGTCATTTGAGTCATGTTTGTGTCCTGATGATTAATCTTATTCCAATATTGAATTCTCTTTTAGCTCTATTGTGGTCTCCAATTCCTGGAACAAACATTTGTTTCTTTAGCAGCTAAATGCTCAAAGTTTACCAGCTAGACGCTAGGCTTTTTTTTGGTTGCTGAAACAGCTGACAGCTGATGCAAATGATGCTTAGAAATGATGGTGAGAATGAACCACAACGATTCATTTTTTTGCTTCAAGCGACACCTCTCACATTACACAAAAACATTTGACCCTGTGGAAGCTTTAAACTAGCCAAACCATCAACTATGAAGACACTTGTTTTGACTGACTTTGTATTGCTGGATTGAGTACACGCTATCCAGTAATATTGAGTTCAGCTGCTTGATTTTGTCACCCATCCTAATTATTGTACATATTTTGGGTGAATAAAATCCCTATTTTTCTCACTTTACCTGCTCTCCCAGCTTTATGTGTACCCTGGTCCCTCACAGACCCATTGTTATTATAAAAATATGAATTATCCGATTTAAGAAAGAACAGTCTTCAAAACTGAACGTAAATATAAACGAGAGCAGTATTTCCTGTGTAAAATGTGTGTGATTGCTGCTCGCACTGGTACTGATTGTTACCTTTAAATGAGTCATAGCATCCATTTTACACAGACTTCGATATGATTCATCATCGTCATCATTCCTCAGTGTGAAATCATGCACATGTTAAAACATATGTAGCCATAACCATTTCTGATTTACAAGTTAGCAAAAGAAGATATGGAAGAATAAGTTGTATGCAACATGTGTGTTATAGCTGTACACCTCGCCATTTACTTGGGCTGATAAATTGAGGTTTTTCTGCCCCTGCGCCATGACTTTTACCTCAATACTTGAGTGATTATGTCTGCTTCCATGGCAGCTCTGCCTCAAAGAAATGCTTGTAGGTCTAAATCTGCAGAGGAGAATGTACCTTCCTTGCTGATCTTGCAGGTGAACATGTTGTGGCCTTTACATGTCCCTCTGGTCATCCTGGCCTGGTAGAAGACCCCCTCCTTCCCTGCTTTGATCAGCTGCAGCAGGTTCAGGTCTGACTTGGTGACACGAGGACCCTTAAACAAATGCCATAAGAGGGGACTTTGCAACATCAAATACGAGCTGAAAAGCAAGGGATTAGGACAAGTGACTGAGAGGACATGCAAACAACACCATCCTGGTCAAACTCATTTTTGCCCACATTGTATATGAATTGTGATTCTGGCTCTATCTTGAACTACAGTGACACTATCTGTCGCATAAAAGAGACATGATCAGCACTAATACTGTAAATCAACATTGTTGAGATGACGCAGATAGAGAGCAAGGTTCACATATATCTGTCATGTGAGATTTCCCTACACTGAAAAAAAAGACTTTTTGGCCCTGTAATTATTACCTCGATTATTTTTGTAAATTTTACAAGAAATTATCATTCCAGTGCTTTTACTTTAAAATATCACCTTTTATTTAATGTGTTACTTGGTGTTTGTTTGTAATTATGTATCCTCATTTTTATAAGTACATTTTAATCATTCACACTAAGTAATATCTACTAAACTACTGTATTGAATGCACTACCTGACACAACGAAGTAAAATGTACTTGGGTAATACGAGTAAAACCTGGCAACCTATAGCGCGTACTCAAGGGGTGACGTCAGAAGAGATTTCGCGCTCCTTTCTTCAACGAGACGACGGAACAGCAGAACCTGAACAAGGACGGCAGCGTTTCACCTGAGGAGAGGAACTTCATGGACGGGAGCCATTGGGGTAGGTTATATGTTTAATTAATGCTCTACGTTGCTGTTGAGCCTTCGGTCAAGTCTGTGTTTGAGTTGTGAACACTGAAGAGTAGCGAACTGGTCAGTTTAGCGTGCTAGCTAGTTAGGCTATCATGCTAGCTAACTTGGGACAGCATTACAGACATGGCTCACGGCGCTACATTTTGTGGACATGTTTTTGGTGGTTTTGGTCATGATTTTACAGGGTTCTCCCTTGAAAAGTTGTTGGCCTGGGGACACGGTGCTCGACCAGCTGCGCTCTGTCGACGAGGGGGAGGGGGAATTACTTCGGTTTTGTGAAGCCCACTTCTGCCACACAGGTGCTTTGCTGTGCTGCGACACACGCACAGCGCGCTTTCTCTCGGACATCCTCAAGTGCAGCCGAGGTCGAATGAGGAAAATGTGACAAGACAGGGAATCATAGCTAAGCAGCAACAAGCACACTGGTCATGTGCTAAAAAATATCCCATACGTGGTGGAATTAGTGACTTTAGAGCGAGTCTAATACACTTAACATTATTTCTCTATATATTTCACAGAATATTAAAGGACGTTCACTCTCAGCAAGTTGACAACATTTGACGCAAGGTAAAATCAACTTAGTACTGTTATAGTTTAATTAACTTGACATACATTTGAAGTCAGTTTGTGTTGCTGTGAATAGTACATTATACTGGGAGGACTACTGCATTAATTGTTTTAGCAAGGTACCTCATCTTGATCATGTTTTTTTTTTATTGTCTTTTGTTTCAGATCAATGAGTACAGAAGAATAACCACAGTTCATCTGGAGCGAAACTTTTTGTCGAAATTGGACAATTGCACTACCAACTTTCTGGAGATACTTGGGACAAAGGGCGGAGTTGCAGGAACCAAGACCCATGCTGGAATCACCCAGCCTGGTAAAGTTTAGATATCTAATATTATATAAAAAATATACACTGAGAATAGATACATAATGACGCATTTGAACACATTCAATATTTGTTTCCCCCACTATCGTCATTTTTTGAGAACACATCAGACTCGAAGATGTAAAAGTGAACATTAGTAAATTTGAATTTCAAAGAAGTTATTGAAGAGGACTATGCTCAACATGTCAAGAAGATCCTTGTCATCCATGGAAATGCAACACAGAAAGGCTTCACTCCTGACAATCGTGTTCGTTGTCAGAGGGAAAAGAGGTTCTTGTTGACTGTGAAAGTGTGGCAAAGGCTTGCCTTCTGCTCATGGGCTTCATCTATGTGTTGTCAAGCAATACCCATTGTTTCAAATTAAAAGCGTTTGTTAAATGACTAAACGTTTGTGTTCTTAAATTTCTTATTGGCAGCACTGATTTAGAAATGTTTTGTCTGGCAATGCCAACCAGATTATATATGTTGGTATTTGTGTGTGTCTGTCAGCAGTGACCTCTTTCACCAGTTAACAAGTAAAGCTGCTTTAGTTTAAAAGATGTTTTGTAGAAGCCTTATGTTAAGACAATTTTATTAAATTAACAGTAGCCCAGTTTAAAAAAAAAAAATGCAACATTCATATTTGAACAGTTGTGTAGAGTAGTAGTAGATAAAAGATATTGTGTAAATATTAATATTTCTCAATTGAAAAAGTAAAGAAAAGCTAGTTAAATATACATGAAACACCTAATTGAGTTTTACTGGGGTTTCGTAATTGGATGCAAAGGTAGCCTGAGTAAAGATTACTATCAAAGGCTAAGTACATTTTATGTCTAAGGAAGACATTTGCAAGTAAAAGTTACTTAAATTTTGGATAAAAAAACAATTCTTACTAGTAAGTGAACTTAACTTGAGAATTCCTGAGTAAAAATCACTCGGAATTTCTGAGTGCAAATTGTTACCTAGCTTTTTTCAAGTAAATGTCACTTATTTTTTTCAGTGTACGCTGCTTTAGCTGACTGCTAGTGGAAATCAAGCACCCCTAAAATAGGTCAAATATCTGATAGCAGAAAATATGAGCATTATTGTGATGAGATGAAGTGGGTGGTGTATCAGAAGTACCTGCTGCAGGCCTTTCCACAGCCCCCTGGAGGAGGGCCTGACTGCTGGTCTGCTGCAGGGAAATGAGGGGAGGAAGCTCCTCCTCCCCCCTTGCTGGCACCGGCCTCACAGGCATGATGGGAGCTTCTAGCCGAGGAACGGCATCCATCAACAACTTGCTACCTTGCAGCTCTCGAATGGTCTGGACCAAAGAACGATATCTGCAAGAAAGAGAAGTGTATAATGTAAAATACTGTACAACGTTTAAGGGAAAAATATTCCAGCAAAAGCTCAAGGCCGCTGTACCAGGGGTGTTTTGTTTGATGGAAAAATAAATAAAATCTACCTGATGAAACAAAAGTTTACTCAGATAATGTTTCTATGGTACTATTTCCTCTTGGAGGCTTAAAGATTAGCAAAATATTCAGAGCATTAATGCAGCAAACAACTATTTGCTCCGTAGAGATAGAGACCAGAGTGTAGGGGGGGCAGAATGATTCTCTGAACAAGATGGCGAACAATTTTTGTTGGCTTTTTTTTTTTTTTTTTTTTTACAATGACTGAAGAAAATGCAAGCTTCTCTCAATATGTACACATATGTCACTCTCTCCAGGCTCGCATGTGTTACTTGAGAAAGTCTACGTTCATGAACAGGACCATATAGCCGACCCCCTACCCCGCTGGCAGACTACTTCGCCCAGAGGAGAACAGACCGGAGCTCCGGAGAGGACGCCTGGCTGGTTAGCTAGCTCGTCTTTGGCGTTCCCGCCTGCTCTCCTGCCGGTTGAAGCGGTGAGGATGGAGTTGGAGCGACCCAGCACTGCTGCTGGCCTCCAGCAGTATGGCATGAAAGCAGCTCTGTTGAGGGCCAAGCTTAGCTGTTGCAGAACAATTAGAGATGGAGAGAAATGTTGCCAGAGGGCTAAACTATTATAGAGAACAAGATATGGCCTGCTGTTGTGCTCATCCTCTGCAACCAGTAAAGCACCAAAGAATGGCAGAACCAGCAGGCCAACCAGCACCAATGATTCCACCATTAGCAGCTCTGTTGGGCTGTATAGAACAGTGGTAATGTTAATATTATCATGCTAATATGCTCACATTGACAATGCTAAGTTGCTGATGTTTAGCAGGTTATAGCCTAATATCTTTACCATCTCGTTTTTCTGTGTTAGCATGCTAATTAGCAGTAAACTCAAAGTACAGCTGAGGCAGATGGGAATGTCATGCTGTCCATCTTCGTGCAGGTTTGGTCATAAACCACAGTACAGGACAAATTACAATTTTGACCTGATGGTGGCTCGACAAAGTGATTGCAATTAAATCTGAGGGAAACATAAAATGTCTGTACTAAATTTCATGGCAATCCATCCAATAATTGTGGAGATCATTCACTCAAACCCGAAACGTTCAACCTGCTGGTGTTTCGTGAGGGGAGTCGGGGGATTGCCAAAAAGAATTGACCAAATAATCATCATCTGAATCACGAATGTCAGTAGCTACCAAATTCTATGGCAATCCTAGTCGTCAAATATTTTGGAAAAAAGTAAAAGAAAATCAAGGTGTTGACCATTTTCACAGTAGGATTTATAAAAACGGATTGTGTGGGGTTCTTATGAATGTTTGCACAGCCCGTGGAACAGTCCTGTGGAAATATATGTTTGACAAATAAAATGATTTTTTCCAAGTGATGACATACCTCCAGGTATAGCTCCTGGTAGCTTGCTACCAAAAGGGCTTGCGTCCAAAATGGCTTATTAATTTGGTAATTATAATAAATAAAGGACAATATATGGCTTGAGATCACCCAGCTGCTGGGATACGATGAAGATGGTAATATAGCTGATGTGCAATTGCACGTTTTGTGTTTGTCACAGTGTTAGGATAAAAGTCTCGGTGTCATTGGTTTATGTGTTGTGTAGTTAATGTTAGACAAAATTTGCATTCAGATTTTCCGTAGTCACGCACTGTATTTCCGCATCACAATGGTGAGAAACAGCTTTAATAATGACTGCGTTCCATTTGCAGGTATTTGATCTCGGCTTATTAGGACGTTGCTTTGAGGTTAGTCTGCTTTGACAAAAGTATATAATTGTGAAAACTAAAGTTTTCCCATTACCCGAAGCAGGTAATAGAATAAACTTTAGTTTTCACAATCTAGAAAAACAAATTCAAATGCAACTGCACTTGTTGAAGTAGTCTTGAAAATGTGTTTTCAGCTTATAAAACATATTTGTTTTATAAAAATCTTGCCCAGTGCAACTTTAAATCAGGCAAATGAAAAGACACTGAGGACAAATGACACAGTAAATTCCTTGTGAAATCATTTCAGCCTCCCTTACTTTCTGAGAAACACGATCCCCAGCAGTGTGAACACCAGGACGGTGAAGGTCAGGGTCCCTATGAGGCCGTAGACAAGCAAGTCCAGGGCCCGACCTGAAAGCCAACGGGACAGAAACAGTCAGCTCCAACATGCTCTCACAATGGGTCACTGAACACAAGTGGATGTAAAACCCCAGAGCTCACCTGAACACGCACTTCCACTTGTGGAATTAGCAGACATAGTGTCTCCTGCTCAACGACGTCACCTCAGTCTGGAAAGTGATATTGTAGCATTTAGAATAAAAAAGAAGCAGGAACAATATTAATGATGTATAACCACAAATCAAACAAATTGGACTTTTTTCTAGATTATTAATTACATAGAGGAAAAACAGACATTTTACAGGTTTGGTGGAAGTACATCCTGTCAAACCTGAAGCCCAGAAGAAGAACAACGCAATATAAGAGACTTAAGATCATACAATAACATGTAATGCTCTATTAAGCTACGAAACAGTCTTACCTGTGTTTTCTGATGAGCACCAGTTTGATAATTGACTGATTCTGATAAGAAGCCAGCTGGAATCGTTACATTGAAGCAGTCTGTCAGTCTCCGCTGTTTATTCTGTTTAGCGCTATACTTGGAACCCTTCAAGAACCCAACCGTGCGTTGTGTTAACCTCGAGCCTGTCTGTATAGTCACCAGCATGAGCTCTCATGACGTGTCAACCACAACAGAAGCAGAGGAAATGAACAGAAGCAGCAGGTGGTTTGAGCTGCATGACACTCTAACACATTCTACATGTTCCTGATGTTGAGCATGAGTCTCAATAGACTGAACCTAAACTTTGCTTAAATGGGCAGTGACTGGGGATAATAAAGCAATGACTGGTCACTGATTCGATTATTAAGGATTCAGAGGTTTCAGATGAAACGAAAATGGAAAACGAGGCACATGAGAATCCCAGTTTAGGTCGTAAACCTCGAGTCACTTTAACAGATTTCAATGCAAAACTTAAAATATGTATGGAGTTAGTTATTGAATTTCTAGGATAAATAGTGGGAAGGAAAAAGCATAAATGGTTATTTTCCAGACATTTTTAACCCTCATTGTGATGTAATATCCATGATAGCATGCAGTTCAACAATGTAAAAATACACCAATACAAGTAAAAGTCTTGCTATTAGTCAAAATTCAACATTATCAAACTTGAAGTATAAAAACAACAGGTGTCCCTGTCTTTGTTAAATGTGTACATTATATTTTATTGCTGAAGCACGATCATGTGTAGCAGCATTTTAATGTTGTAGCTGCTGGAGGTGGAGGAAAAGCCCCTTCACATGAGAGAAAAGTCTTCGTTTCAGTTGCAGTGTTTACTTCGGGGAAGTGGCTACAGAGACCCTGCATGTGGTTACCTTTGTCATCCGCAGGCAGACCACCGCTGCAGCATGATACTCGAACTACAACCAGGAAGGAGAGCGGGGCAACATGTTGTATTGCAGGTAGACAACTGAGGCTGATGGGAATCAGGTATTTGGTCATAAAACAACTTCAGCCTAAGACGCATTAAGGTTATTGACCATACATAGCAAATGGTTATACAGTCTGTCTTTATTTATTAAGAGGAAATAAGTTCTCCCAGCAAACATTAGATCTTAAATCCACAATCACAAACCTTTAGCACGGGAAGAAAAGGTTTGAGATGGTGGAGGAATAGCAAAAGTTGTTGTCAGCTAATGCAAGTGTGAACTAACATGACGCTCCATGTATTGGACAACCGGAAACTTCAGATTGGACAAGACCAATCCCCAAATGTACAATTCATCCTGTTCGGAATTAGAGTCAATCGACCAGCCTCCATTGAAAGCAATAACTGCATTGCTTAGCACCCACCCACCCCCACACACACACACACACACACACACACACACACACACACACACACAC